CTATTCATAATCTTTCTTATTTCCTTTAGCATTTTTATGACCTCCTTTTTGAACTTGGGGTCTGGTAGACTTGAGAGGTCTGTTTCGTTGTTTGTTCTTTCAGGGGATTTCTCTTGTTCTTTTTTTTTCTTTTTTTTTTTGTGGTACACGAGCCTCTCACTGCTCTGGCCTCTCCCGTTGCGGAGCACAGTCTCCGGACACGCAGGCTCAGCAGCCATGGCTCACGGGCCCAGCCGCTCCGCTGCATGTGGGATCTTCCCGGACCGGGGCATTAGCCTGTGTCCCCTGCATCGGCAGGCGGACTCTCAACCACTGCGCCACCAGGGAAGCCCTCTCTTGTTCTTTTAATTGGGAATAGTTCCTCTGCTTTTTCATGTTACTTAACTGTTTCCCATAAACTCATAGAGGCAGAACAGGTTATCTACTGTGGCCTTGAAGGGGTGTTTTTATGTGGGAACATCCTTGTGTAGACTGTGTAAGTCTGGTATTTTTGGTGCCAGGGCTATTTTTGGTATGGATGCCAGCCACTTCTTTCCTCAGCATGTGCTGGCCATTATCCCCTTGATAAGGGGTGTGATGGTGTTGTGGTGACCAGACCCTGCACTGGATGATGGGAGGGGCCTCCTCTTTGCTCCGTGGCTGTCACAGCCCTGTTGAGGGTGGGGTCTTCTCCCCAGATTTTAGAGTAGAAGCCCTGAGGGTTGGTTTCATTAAGGGTCCGTTGCCTTTACATGTGTGCTCTGTCCCCAAGGCTGTCAGTGCTGAAGCAAGTAAAGCCCATGTGGTTGCAGTGAACCTATGGGCTGCACGTGCAGGTGTTTGTGGTTCTGCCCAGAGGCAGCCCAATTTTGCGTCCGTTTCTCCATTGTGTTTGTCCCAGACCTAGTGCTAGGCTCTGGGGGCTAGGGTGTTGTGGCTCCAGGAATCGAAGTGATTTTGCTGCTGTCTGGGACCTGGTCTGCCTCTGTGGTAGGGCTCCCCCAGGATCTGTTCACCCTAGATCTGGATCCAAGCTGTGGTGTTCCATGGGCAGAACCAGAGTGCTTGTACCTTGAAAGAGACCTCTGGGTACTCCTTCCCAGGTGCTGGTCATTGGGATCCTGTGATGCCACCCACTACCTGGTGAGTGTACCAACAAAGTCCACAGCTGATAGATACACCCCTGGACCCACCCCTGACATGTGCATACATGATGTTGATTTGCCCCATCACTAAAGATGCTAACTTTAATCACTTGAGTAAGTTAGTAGCTGCCAGGTTCTCCACTGTAAAGTTACTCTTTTTTCCTTTCAAAATTAATAAATACGTTGTAATAATATTCCTTGAGATTATGTAAATATCATTTTTATTGCAATTTTACTCATGCTATTAAGTGAGGCCATGTTCAAATGGGGCAAACTGTATAAGTAAATGTGTATAATCTTATATGTTTAAACTACATATTCTCCTTTTCACTTTCTAGTATCAATTTCTAATGAACAGAAATGTTCCCATTTCTCAAACCAAGGAAAAATACCTGAGAATTTATTGGTCATGAGACTTTAACATGCCAAGCATATTGCAAAAAAAAAATGTGGTATATATATATATTTTTTGTTTGTTTGTTTGTTTGTTTTGTTTTGTTTGCGGTATGCGGGCCTCTCACTGCTGTGGCCTCTCCCGCTGTGGAGCACAGGCTCCGAACGCGCAGGCCCAGCGGCCATGGCTCACGGGCCCAGCCGCTCCACGGCACGTGGGATCTTCCCGGACCGGGGCACGAACCCGCGTCCCCTGCATCGGCAGGCGGACTCTCAACCACTGCGCCACCAGGGAAGCCCTGTGGTATATATTTTTATGCTTTTGTAAATGTTGGAGAAGAAAGGGCATACACATCATAGTCATCCCTTTCATTTCTATCAGACTTTATAATTTACAAAGCATGTACACACGCATATCTCATCTGATTCTCACAATATACAGGTTAAACTAGGGATTATTATTCTCTTTATTTTATCAGTAAGGAAAAGGATATTGCACACATAGAGTGACCTACCCACAGCTATACACCTGGTAAATGTTCAGGTTGAGGTAAGCACACAGTCTTCTATTTAAAGGTTCATTGTGTTCTCCTGAGTTGCTTGGTGGAGTTTTATAATGAAGACAATGATGAGGATGATAAAGACCTCAATGATGCAAATGTTGATGAGTACAGAGAAGCAAGTAAAACTAAATAAAATCATGTCTTCTCCAAGGCCTAAACATGGAAATGTAAAATTTTAAAAATAAATTTACTTCACATTTACATTTGTGATTAGATATCTGGCTTTCCAGATCCAGGCTTATAATCCAGAGCTCCAAGTATGTGCGCAAGACTGATCCCTTCCCCAAAGTTCCCAAAGAACACAGAGGTCCCAGGTCATTGGCTTGAGGAAGCCACAAGTGCATCGTGTCTTCACTGGTGCGGCAGAATGACTGTGGAAGGTGAGGAACTTATTTGCTTGTCCCACCTCTCAGGCAACTCTGTGAGATTACTTATAGACATGGTGGGAAATAAACAAGACTATTAGAAATAGACACTTCCTGGCAGCTTTTTAGGCACAAACTGATAACCAGGAGACCCAAGCTGAGAGAGACATGCAGTAAGGCAGACTCAATTAGGTCTCAGTAGAAGCAGCTTGTCACAGAGGCACAGAATTGGCTTGAAATCATTTAACTTTAAAGCACCTGGAGTCAAAGAAACAGTTCAGGTTGAAAAATGATTTTGTTATAAATGAAAATTCCTTAGCCGTGTTTTATTTTTTCTGTTATCTTGGGTTTTAAATTTTTGTTTTATTGCAACTTCAGCCTTTCAGTACTTCAGTACAGTTGTTGGGAAACCAACAACAGGGACTTATTTGTACCAGTGTAAATAGTCAACAGTAAGATATTAAATGGAACAACCTGCATATTTATAAACTGAAAATGAGTAACTCACTATTTTCTCCTGCATAATGGCTTTCAAATACAGTTCTTATGGCCAGATCACTGGGGCCACCAGCAATGATCTGGTCGTCTATAAAGAGTCACGTGTGAACATATACCTAAGTACTTATTGACACACAAAGTGAGATTATAGCTTCCAGTGACACAGTCACACACAAGCAGAGTACCATATTCATATAAACAGGCATTTTGATTCAATCAGTGAATAGAAATAAGACCCAGAGACAACAAAAAATTTGGTTGACAGTTTTAAAAGTTCAGGACTGACTTCAATGTTGGTTCTCAGATTTATTTATATGAAATGAATCCTATGCAGAATAATGTTAAAGATTTCTATTTCGAGGTTTGAGTTAAAAGAATTAAGAGTTGGCTTTTGAGGAGAATGGTTAAGAATTACGCTATAGAAGTAGCTGTGAAAGGTAAAAATTGGGATTTAGATATAAGATGAACATTGTTTGGATTTATGTGAAATTAGAATTTATTTCTAAATGTTGAAATATAAGCTATAAATTAGGCCTCAAACCTAGGTAAGTATTTGACTACAGAATAATATATGTGATAAAAGTTTTGGAGGTGGGTCCCAAGCTCTTTTCATTTTGAGACAAATGTCTAAAAATATAAATTTTCCCGAAGGGTGTATGTGGGCATATGTGCTCATCTGACCATCGCTGCAAAGGAATTTACAGTCAGACCTTGAGGTATGGATGTTGGAAGGCTTGAATAAATAAAAGATACTTATGGAGGCTAGAGAGAATGAGAAAAAGGTATTGAATTTAAGGAAAAGTTAGGAAAAGTTAAAAGAGCAATAAAAAATCACAGAGAAGGAATATATAGAAAGAGAAAAAAATGAGATAGAGAAAAGGAAAACTATTTGATAGGAAAAAGAGGAAATGAAAAGGAAGGAGAAAGAGTGGTCTTTTGTTTTTATTCACTACTCAGCATTTCTGGACCAATATCTCTTCTCTTTTGTGCACTTACATACTGGTTCTTCATGTCTATGATTGGGTTGAGAAGGTGTGTCAGAAACATCAAAGGCTGAGAATTATTAGATTACTGAGCGTCTTACTGTGATTAACAGATTGGAGTCAAATATTGTGAGCTTAGTGTTAAGCATAGATTTGAGTTAAACACTATGAACTGGCTAGGTTTATGGATAAATTATGCATTTAACATTAGGATTAGAGGGTTGGGAGTCTAAAATCATGGGTCGGTATTTGTTAGCATGGAATAGCTGACGTTGGTGGCACAATTAGATTGATAATTAAAATAATAAAGGTGGTTCAGAGCTGTGTTAAATTTAGAGTAGCATTTACAAGTGTGCCCTACTCCCTGAGTAGACTCACACAGCATCGTTGTTAAAACAGACTGGTATGTCAAGTAAAGAAGACTTGACTAGGAATTGGAGTTTCATTAGAACAATTAGAAAATAAATTACCCAAATAGTGTCTCTTTCATTGCAGATGAAAATTTTTTTGCCAATTCTAAAAATATACTTTTTAAACCTTAGGATTAAGTTAGATTGTTTAAGCTGTGTCAGAAAGTTCCCTGGTTTATTTTGATAATTTTTGCTATAAAATTATTACTATAAAAGGTATTTATGGAATAAATTTGTAGTTATGAAGGCATGTCATTCCTAAAAAAATTTATGACCATTGCTATTGGTGTTATACATATTTTGCTCTTTATGTTCCATTTAAAATGGGTTTTTATCTTTTGATCTATTAAGGTTACTAGGTAGATGATAGTTCTACAAAGTTTTTAATAAGCATAATTATTTTATTTGATACTTAGACCTCAACAACGAATTGTTAGAATTTCATTGTACTTTTAGTTTAGACATGTTTGTATTTGTCAGTCAGTGAGGTGGGGAGTCTGAAGGAGAGTGCAGCTTTCTCCACCCAGCAAAGATGACTCTGAATCTGTGTCTGCCCCCTCCCTACCAACCCCAGCCCCTGGGAACCTGTGCCAACATGAGGGAAAAGGCCCAGCGATGCTGAAGATGACGATATCCTTGCTCTGTAATCACGTCTATGGAGAAGTTAACATCTTCCTTCATGAAGAAGCTGAACTTTTTCAGTACTCTTCCTATGGGAACAACACAGTTAACAGGATTCATTAACACAAGAGGAAATTTTATACAATATTAGAGCTGAAAGGAACTATAGAGATTATAGGCAGAACCTCATCTTACAGATGAGGAAAATGAGTCCCTAAAAAGGAGTGTCCTGGCCTCAGGCAGTTCCTGACAGAGGCAGAAGCAGAATGTCCCTAGACCAGTGACACTTCCATCCCACCTGCTGCCTCCGCTTATTCCAGAGCCCAGACCGATCACCCAATGTCTTAAAACAAAAAAGAAGGAGGACTTCTGACAAGGGAAGCTGAGGTGGGCTGCCCCTCAGCCTTTTCTGGTCAGCAGGGCCTGTGATGAGGCTGGATCCTGCACTAGTGAGGAGAACTTCCACCACATGTCCCATTCAGTGTCCTTGGACACAGGCTGGTTTCTAGGCTGAGGACCCAGTGTCTCTGCACATTAGAGAATCTTCCCTTTTGTGAAATAAAAGTTCCTGAGTAGGAATCAGTATGTAGACATATCCTTCTGGGCTCAGGCCCTAACTCCGTATTTTAACTTGGTAAGATAGTCACAAAGATGAAAAACCACAAGATCTGAGATAAGTGGCCAAAATCCAGTGGTCAAAAGAGACTTAACAGTCAGCAAAGGGGACTTGGTGTTAAGATAGCAAATGCTGAGTTGCCTGTTTTGTAACAAAGAAGTGACATCTGCCTGGTTGTTATTGCCTTCCAAAACCCTGTGCAGGCCAAACAAAATACTTAAAACATGTTCATGGGATTCTAGCCCAAGTACTGACACCTTGTATTCCCCTATTTCATTTTATTTTATTTTATTATTTTTTATTTTTATTTTTTGGCGGTACACGGGCCTCTCACTGCTGTGGCCTCTCCCATTGCAGAGCACAGGCTCCAGACGCGCAGGCCCAGCGGCCATGGCTCACGGGCCCAGCCGCTCCGCGGCATGTGGGATCTTCCCAGACCGGGGCACAAACCCGTGTCCCGTGCGTCGGCATGCGGACTCCCAACCACTGCGCCATCAGGGAAGCCCTGTATTCCCCTATTTTAGGTCAAAGAGAGTATAATCTTCGTGGTAGCCTTATCCTCCCTATCTCCCTAAGGCTGCAGATATTTAGAGCCACTAGGAAATTGAGGAGGGTAAAGACCCTCTGGCTACAGTTTATCTAAGAATCATCTCTTGGCTGTTAAGTCTCTTAGAAGGCATGTAAGATAGTGGTTTTCAATTTTTTAGTGTGGGATTCAGAACCCTTTCTTCCAATAAGAAATTATTTGGAACTCTACTCCTTAAAATAGTCCAAAGCTGGTTGGGATTGGAGATCACCCCAAACGATCCCCTTAACCTCTTTGGTGACTCCTGACTTGCCTCTACAGAACCTCTGGGCTCTGGGGACAGCAGTTTGGAAGCTCATGGTCTTGTTAGACTCTTTCAATTGACAGACAGGAATTAGAGGTTCTGTCATGGAGGGACCAGTCCAAGCTGGCAGAGCAGGTGGCTCAACCCTAATCTGACTGTGAGGCAGCAAGTTTTCTATCTCTCCCGGCTTCTCTGGGTGGGCAGAGTATAGCTTCTGGAGAGTTAAGCAGGCTTGTGGAAAGAGGAGAAAATTGCAGTGGAGGACGCTGCCCTAGATGCTTTTTCTTCCCATGCAGTACTCACAAGCTCTCAATACACAAGTGGCGTTCATTCCCATAGGTGATGTAGTCAGACCACAAACAGGCAGGTATGCGATGGGGCAGGGGATGGCCGCCACTGGGTGCTTCTCATAAATGCTGCAGTCTACCTGTGACAGTCACAGGAGGATGTCCTGCTTTTCTCCTGGTCCTCAAGCTGGGCTACCCTGGCTTCTACTGGACAGGAAGCACAGTACCATCTTGGAAGTCCCAGCTCCAATATTCTGATGCTGCTGTGGCTACTTCTATTGATAATAATATGACCACTCTGACAAATACTAGTACTACCAGCACCACTTCTATTATTTATATATATGTGTCTGTGTGTGTGTATGTGTGTGTGTGTATACATATGTGCATTTCTTTGCCAGGCATTAAACTTAAATCTTACATGAATTTTCTTTGTTTAATCTTCAGAACAACTGAATAGGGTAGGTTCTATTACCCCTATTTTACAGATGAGGGAAATTTGGGCTTAAAAAGAGAACTTGTCTAACATGAAAAGCTGGTAAGTGGTAGGGCTGGGATCTGAATCCAGAGTCTGTGCAATTAGCCAAGGTAAATGTCTCTTGCCTGTCACATGTTATCCCTTCCATGAAGACATCACCATCTTCTCAGCTAGAAGTCCTCTCCTGCTCTTTTTTAATTCTGGAAAATTTTCTTTAGGCTATAGTTATTTACATATATGTATGTCATATTTCTTCAGCTGCCTTCTGAAAAGCAAAGGCAATTTATCTGTGGCTGCCTTCCCTTTCACCTCCCCAAGCATACTGAATTAATCTTACATATATATTTCATAAGTATTTGTTGGCTAAATATAGTAAATAGGAAATTAAAGTAAAGCTAAATAGGAAATTAAACTGAAATTAAAGTGTGGTTCAATATACTCACCATTTTCAAAGGCAGACTGGCAGCTTCTGAAAGAGATATACAGTTGGAAATGTTAAAAGTAAAGCAAAGTTGTGATGTCTCATTAATTAATGGAAAGTCTGTAGATTGAAACTCTGTAGTTCTCTGGTGATGAGTTTCAGCACCTACCCTGTCCTTTCACAAAACCCAGCTGTTTGCTGAGGAAGCCAAATGGCCAATAGGTTAGGTAAGCCTTGGTTCAAGTAAGAATCATCCACAGTTCCTCCATTTATTGACCATGGGACATTTTCTGGAGTTCATCGTGTTTCTGATAATGTTTTAAATCAAATAGCAATAAAAATATTGCAGTCACCACTTCTAAGAGGCTGAAGCACCATCTTTGATATTTTCCCGCTCCTAGTTGATATAAAGGAATGTAATGGAATATCTCCAAGGCATCTGAATCTTATTTAAGTAATTTTTCACTGTTTAAAAGTTTAATTGTTGACTCCTGGGTTTTGGAGAATCATGCTTTATATCGATCCTCCTGTATTGATTTGGAAAGAGATCCAAGTTTCTCTGCATCTTTGCACTGAGGAGTAGTATCTAACAGCACCAACAATTTCTAGTGTCCTAATAAAATGGGAGACTTATGAAAAAATAAGTTTTTTTTGTTTGTTTTTTTGGTTCCATGAATGGAAATAGAAGTCCTTAAAAGGAATGCACTAGATCCAAATCCCTCAACTCCAGGTGGGACATAAGAGTCTCCTTTTCCAGGCCAGAGCTGTTTCTGTTACAAACCAGTATACTTTAAATCTACATGACCAGACATTTCTCTGAGATGTTCACATCCTATGAGGGGCTATTTCAGAGAACAAGCTTAATGGCTATACAGGGCACTATCTACCCTTAACTTATGAGAGCAGTTGCAGAGATGGGCCACTGTACAGAACAGAAGGAGATCCCCAATGATCTTCATGATGGAGATGGCTGTGATGCAGAGGCTGCTCAGGACCGTCACAACAACTGTATCAGCCATACCCTAGGAAAGGGGCATGTTTATAAGGCAATGCTTGGTTTCTCCACCTTTCCTGTGAGGTCATCCAGTGTCAGTGTTGGCTCTGAGAGGCTCTCAAAGCACAGTGTCACACCCTGGGTGGTGATACAGTCCTTGTCACTCAATTGCTACTTCCTGTCTGACCAACAAATTGATTATGCAAGGTGAGAAGTATTTTTCTGTCTGCTGTAGAGGTGGGGAATGTTGTTACCTAGAATTCCAAACCTCATATAGTAGAAGAGATTAAGTATAGGCTGCTTGGCCTAGTTACGAAATAAATGAAAATATCAAACTTTCTTTCTTTCTTTATTTCTTTATTCTTTCTTTATATCAAACTTTCATAAGTGCTAAGTGACCTTAGCACTTATGAGGCTTGGAGAAAGGCATTGACATTTTCTAGCTGTGTGATCTTGGGGAAGTCAGTTGCGCCATGAGCCTATATCAGTTGGGAAGAGCTGGTTATGTTGTGGTAACATATAATCCCAAGACTTCTGTGACTTAAAACAGTACAAGTTTATTTTTACTCAAGCTATACATATATGGTGGTCAGCTGATGGTGCCGCATGCCTTCAGTGGATTCCAAGTAGACAGGTTAGTCACCATTTGGAATATTGTTCATTGTCAAGGTGAAGTGAAGATGCATTCCTGAGTATTTCCATTTACAGCAATTGAATATTCCATCTCAGAAGTGGCACCAGTGTCACTCTCCTTCACTGTCATGTGGATGTGGCCTGGCCTAACCATAGAGGTTACTGGGTACTGTGTTACCTTGTCTCTCTCTCTCTTTTTTTTTTAAAATTATTTATTTAATTTTGGCTGTGTTGGGTCTTCGTTTGCTGTGCACAGGCTTTCTCTAGTTGCATTGAGCAGGGGCTACTCTTCGTTGTGGTGTGCAGGCTTCTCATTGCGGTGGTTTCTCTTGTTGTGGAGCACAGGCTCTAGGCACATGGGCTTCAGTAGTTGTGGCATGCGGGCTCAGTAGTTGTGGCTCCCGGGCTCTAGAGCACAGGCTCAGTAGTTGTGGCACATGGGCTTAGTTGCTCCGCAGCGTGTGGGATCTTCCTGGACCAGGGCTTGAACCTGTGTCCCCTGTGTTGGCAGGCAGATTCTTAACCACTGACCACCAGAATGGGAAGAACTGGAAATAGTTGGCAAATGACACAGAGACCACCCCAGAGCCTTAGTTTCATGCCGTGTCAAGTGGGACCTATTGCTAGCCCCAATAGAGTTCACATAATTGGAGTCTTTTACATGAAAGTCTGTTTTAAAGTGCAGTGCATGTAATTGCTGCTGTGATTGTTATTATTATTATTGACAGGCCAAGAGTCTCCACTGTGGGTTGCTGACATTAGATTTTAAACTGTGTTTTCCAAGCACAGTTATCCAAATGTCTGTTATTTATCTTTTGATCTTGAGGACATATGTATGAAAACCTGGGGGAAGGCAGTAGAGTCTGCTTCACCAGTGCTTTGCTTGGCAGGCTTATTGTAGTACATTCTGAAGCATAACACATACAAAAGATAATAAATGACATTGCATGCCTCCCTAAAATTTAGACTCTTACATCTGTTTGGGGAGCAGTGTAATCTCTTAGTTAAGAATATGTGCATTGGGACTTCCGTGATGGTTTAGATGCTTTAGTCTTAGTGGTTAAGACTCCACGCTCCCAATGTAGGGGGCATGGATTCGATCCCCAGTCAGGGAACTAAGATCCCGCATGCCACATGATGCAGCCTGAAAAAAAAATGTGCATTGAGTCCCATGGATCTTATTTGCAATCTTGTTTCTAATGAATGTTGGCTGTGTGACTTTGAGTGCATAGGTTAAGTTCTGGATATTTTAGTTTCCTCATCTGTAACATAGAAATAATACCTCACAGAGTGATTTTGAGTGTGAAATACAATTATATGTAGATAATGTGTGTCTATAAATAGGTAAAATCTCTGGTGTGTGTGTGTTTGTATATCAGATGCTAAGATCATAATTAGAGCTTGATATACGGTAACTAATGATACGGAATGTGATATTCATGACAACTGATTGAGGGAGGAATTTTTATTATCCAATTTTATCAGTGAGTAAGTTGAGGCTCAGAGGATTTAAGTAATCTTCCCAAGATCATGATACCAATTAATGTAGGAAACTATTAGGTTCAGTCATGGAAAAAAGGGGAAGTGAATGTTCTAATAAAGAGAGTGAATTATAAGCTTTATTGTTTACTGTGAAAGTTTGAAGAGAATGAATACTGAGAAAAAGCCATTATATTTCAAGAAGAGGTGTTTTGTTTTAGTTTAAAATGCAATTTTAGCTAAAAGGATTGGGAATGGAATCAAAGGGTGATCATGATGAAGTGGAAAGATAGGGTTATTTTTGTTTAGATGTTTGATAGTCAAAGGAGGAGAATGGAAAAAACAAAGGCTTCAGCAGGGTCTAGGGTGGACTGAGCATGTCTTCAAGACAAAGGG